AGAACTGTTTTTTCCCCCAGGTGTCAATCAGCTCTGAAAAGCTGCTTAAATGAGAAAAGTCTCATTTAAGGGAAAACCCACAACACTACTTAAAGCTAGGCCTAAATCTATAAGGTTATAGTGTTGCTGTTAACAAAATCTGAAGAACAGTTGTCTGGAATGAGAGTTATTTCAGATGGACTTTGCAAGAAGCCTCCATTTCAAGGAGCTGTTCTGCAATACAGAACAATGGTCATGATCACCACCTTAGAGGAATGATCGGAAAACCGTATATTGTATATTATACAATATAACTGTTATTTTACAGGACGGGTCTATTTCTAGAACAGAAATTTGCAGTCTGTGAAACCAAATACTTGGGTAGTTTTTTTTTTTTTTTAAAAAAAAATCAATACCATAATAGATCAATCTGCCCAAAACCTGTTGCCCACCCCAATATTTGGAACTCAGTTCTAACACACTAGCTAGTTTAGACGGCTTTGCGATCTGGGTGGAGAGTAATGATCACCTAACCACATTTGGAAGACATTTGTGAAATTCAAAACTGTTGAGGAATGGGTCCACGGTGAGGGAAAAGAAAAAAGGGAATGCGCTTGCTTAATCGGGGAAAGATATAATTAGGCTCCTTATTGTTCAATTGTACACCAGAAAGAACTCACTATACAAATTCGGGAGGGGGGGGGGGACCTGCCGAGGTTCTTGGCGAGCAGCGCGCCCCCTGTGGGCAAAGTGCCGAAGGTGCCCTTCGTTCTCGGGAGCCTTCCTTTCCTAAAAAGTCTGCGCCGCCGCGTATTTATTTTCCTGTGTAACCCTGCCAGACGGCGTCTGCCTCTCTGAAGCTTGCAGCGATTTCCTCTCCAGCCTGCCCTTATCTTCTCCTGCACGTTGACTCCGGGTGACTAATAACACAATAACATAATAAAGTCGGATTTGTTTACTCCGCTCCCCAGGGGTGCTTATAAAAGGAGCCGCCGAGAGGCCACCAGAGCCAGAAGCCCTCGCGGAGCCTCGCTGTGGAAAGAAGCAGCGCCTGCTCCACCTGCTCCCACCAACCCCTCCTCTTTGCCCGGCAGCCTTCCTCTCGGTCGCCCGGCGGACCGCTGCCAGGGGGCTCAGCTCGGTGGCTTCGGGGAGGATCGAGCGATCGGACGGTCGCTCCGCTTCGTGTCTGCCCGCGCAAAGCCGCCTGCCTCGGGACTAAAGCGGGTTGAGAAGGCGTGAATTGGCACTGCCCGCCCCTCCCTGGGGTTAGCCGGAGGAACCGTCGGGATGGATTACAAGCGGATGCTCCTTCCCCTGCTTTTCGTGATCAGCCAGGGGGCTCAGCACGCGGGTAAGTTGAGGAGCCCCCTTTGGGATTCTAACCTCTTCCGCAAATGGTCTTAGCCCGCCCAGCTGGGGCTTTGCCGGTAGACTGCCTCCGTCCAAGGGAGACGGCGAACCTTTGATGCTCTTTGTGGCCGAGAGCGTCTCCTCAGCCAGGTCAGGAGCTTGCTTAGCCTCGCTAAAGGGGCGCTCCAGGGCTACGGTTCCTCAAGGCAGTGAATCCGAAATAATTAGCCGGTCCCAGATTCCATCCCGCAGGCGAAGTCTGCTCTGAGAGGCGGCGGAATCGACTGCTTTACCTCGCTGTTTAGCGGCGGCCGTGGCAAATTTGGTTTACCTGGAGGTTGGAGGTTGGGGAGCAGGTTTTAGCAATAAAATTTCTTTTTAAGAAATACTTCCTAGAGGGGGGTGGTAGGAATAGTTCTGCCTGCTAGCTGCCCACTAGCTCTAGGCCAGGGGTAGGCAACCTTGGCTCTTTTATGACTCGTGGACTTCAACTCCCAGAATTCCTGAGCCAGCTATGCTGGCTCAGGAATTCTGGGAGTTGAAGTCCACGAGTCATAAAAGAGCCAAGGTTGCCTACCCCTGCTCTAGGCGATTAGCCAGAGGGGTGATTCAAGAGTTGGAAAGTTAAGAGATCCAGGCAGCAAAATCTCGGGACACTTGAGCGGGTGACTCGGAGCTGCCGCCGGTCAGGCAAACCCTAAAAGAATTCAGAGACTTCACATTCAGTGGCAAACCCCACACTCACCAGCGCTGATGCCGTTACCTAATGGGGTAACGGAACGTCTGAAAGCAAGCAACCAAGCTCAGAGAGCACCAAGGGCTCCGTATAATTAGGAGAGAGCGTGAATCCATTGATTTAAAGGAGGCGAGGTAAAGGGGCTTAAAACTGGGCATCCTCAGCTGCGATCCCCCCCCCCCCCCAACGCGCTGAACCTGAACAAACCGCTACGGTTGTGTTCATACGATACGCGGCCGAACCAAAACAATTGTAGGCTGGCAGGGCTCGTGCCTCCTCGACGCGGAATACGTTTTGCTCGGCTTTGGGCTCAGCCACGGTGCTACGTAAAGCACGCTTTATACGCAGTGTTTCTCAACCTTGACCATTTTAAGGCATGTGGACTTCAACTCCCAGAATTCCACAGCCAGCATTCGCTGGCTGTGGAATTCTGGGAGTTGAAGTCCACCTGCCTTAAAATGGTCAAGGTTGAGAAACACTGCAAGTTATAGCTTTATCGTATTGTGCCAACGAGAGGTTACTAACTCCCAATTGAAGCAACGTGCTCCCTTTTTGCAGTCGGGCGCGAGTTCAGATAGCTTCTTCCCAACCCCGCGTCGTTCGCAAGTGCCGGTTTGGCATTTGGGGGGAATCGCGATGGCAAGTTTGTTTTGAAGACGAACTTCGATTTTGGACGATCCCCCTGAAGCGCGCGGTCCTCGAAAACTGACAGGAAAGGGCTTTTCTCCTGCTCTCCTTTGCTTCTGTTCGGAGAGGTAGTCAATCCCGGTTCCCTGCAACTCTTGGGGACTACACTTCCCATGAACCGCGCGGCCTTGGGGCTCGGAAGCGCTGACTAGAATAGCCTGATAACCACCGGGGGGAGGGGGGGGGGCTCGCTCGCCTTCGCAATCAGATTGACCGCCAAGCCGAAAGAGCTTGGTTGGCTTCAAGGGACGATCGGAGCGGGCTGTGCGCTTCGGTTCGAAACCGGCCGCCGCGGGCTAGCCGGTTTGTATTTCCCGGTCTGGTTCTTGGCGTTTCTTAATGACGCGGCTCGCCCAGCGAGGAGTAGGGTTGCCAGGTCTGCTTCCAAAAAATAGCGGACAAGCGGTGTGTGTGTGTGTGTGTGTGTGTGTGTGTTAAGTAGTAAAAAAAAAAAGTAGACTGTACAGCTTTAGATTACGTACCATTTGATCATAAAGCTTTTGAATTAAAAAAAAAAGTGAAAAAAAAATAGTGAACATACTGTGAAAAAAGTGGACTGTCCGCTCCAATAGCGGACACCTGGCACATGTGCAATTCTTGAAGCTGCGGCAGGGGAACTGCTCCACAGGCTTCCACGGGCCCATCAGGCTTGCCCGACTCTCCTCCGTTTGTCTGAGATGCTCTCTTTCTCTCTCTCTTTCTCTCTTTCTCTTTCTCTCTCTCTCTCTCTCTCTCTCCCTCAGTGACGCTCTTTTTCTTGCCTTCCTCAGATGCCGCGGTCGATGCCACCAAGCAGCCCGCGAGCGCCCCCTCGCCGCCGCGCAGAGTGAAGCGTTGCTCCTGTTATTCCCTGATGGATAAAGAGTGCGTCTATTTCTGCCACCTGGACATCATCTGGATTAACACTCCCGAGTAAGTAGGGACTCCTCCTTGGCACTAAGCCATTAATGTATTTTTTTTTTTTTTATCGCTCCGCGGCTGTGTTTTAATTAGTCTAGGATTCCTCTGTTGAGGCGAGTTCAGCACATCCCTCCTTTATCTGGCCAGGGCTATCTGAAGTATCAGCCAGATTCGAAAGCAGCACAAATGGGAAGGCTAATTGCACTTTAGACCCAGGATAATCTTGGGAAAGGGCTTTGGGTTCGAGCAAATGTTGCTGGCTCCTAGCACATGGAAGACGCAAACAAGAAAACCTGGCATTTGGCAGATATGTTGGATTATGAATTCCATCCTACTGATTGTGGTAATGGGTGTTGTGGTTCAATGAAGTGGAGAGTACCAGGTTAGAATAAGCGGGTGCAAAGATGAGTGTGTTAGCGTAACAAGTGCACAGCACAGAACTGTTCCTGGAAGCATAAGTACAGGTAGTCCTTGATTTACGACCACAATTCAGCCCAAGGCTTCTGTTGCTAAGTAAGACATTTGTTAAGTGAGTTTTGCCCCGTTTTATGACCTATCTTGCCACAGCTGTTAAGTGAATCACTGCAGTTGTTAAATTTGTAAGACGGTTGTTAAGTGAATCTGGCTTCCCCACTGGCTTTGCTTGTCAGGAGGCCGCAAAAGGCGATCATATGACCCCAAGATATGGCAACCGTCATAACTAACTATGAGTCAGTTGCCAAGTGTCTGAATTTTGATTACCTGACCGTGGGGATGGTGCAATGGTTGTAAGAGTGAAAAATGGTCATAAGTCACTTTTTTCAGTGCTGTTGTAACTTTGAACGGTCACTGAATGAACTGTTGTAAGTCGAGGACTACCTCTATTGACACAGTTCTTTTGGATTGGCCTTTACATCTAATACAGTTGCATTCTGCTTGCTTCTAAGCAGTTCGTAGTTTTGCAATCTTGACCTTTGTAGCTATGAATTTAAGGGTGCCACACTGCAGCCTGGGCAGTCAGGATTATTAACAGCAGCAAAATTTGTTTGGGTGTATTTCTTAATTTTGCAATGTATTTTCATGGGCTGTTTTTATCAAACTGACAAAGCCTCGACTTTGTCAGCCTACAGCATAATCCTAAGGTTTAATATAGGCTTTTCTGGATCATATTGTATTATACATACACACACACACACACACAAATATATATGTTTGATAGTACAGCACTGTTCAAACAGGCTCAGCTATTTGCTTTCATGCGTGAAATCTGATTTTAGTTGGTTCATTTGTGGTATTAAACTGAAATTGGCTTGGTACACTATGAGCAAAGTCTGTAAAGACAAAATCTGGCCACTGTGTTCTCCCATGGGACTCTGCTGCATTAGCTGCATGTAAGGCAGAACTGCAGTTAATCAAATTAGCAGAGGCAAGCCAAAGAGAGGCTGCTATCAGACAAATCATGTTGTGTAATCCTTGACAAGCATGCTGAAATGTATTTGAAAGCCGCCATCTGCTGCTAGCACATACCAATCCTTCTTTAATTATTTGGCTCAGAGGAGACCTGCCCACAGTGTGTGAGGCAGTTTCAGGGTGCTTCTTTGCTAAGAGGATATTGATGGTGCCAAATTATTAGAAGTTTGAACTGACCTAGGCCTCGTAGATAACTGTGTGGTGTGTATGGACCTTGGTAAAACCAGACGTTTTACACCAAGCTGTAGTTCCAGCCTGATTCTGCCAGCATGGTCCCAGTGGTGAGGGATGATGGGAACTGTAGACCACATGTGACTCATTTAATAATTTTTCTGTTATTTTTTCATGATAGGCGGATTGTGCCATATGGGCTTGGAAGCTTTTCTCGAACCAGGCGGTCCCTAAAAGATTTAACGCTTGAGACACTTCAGCCATCTGACAGTAGATGCCACTGTGCTAGCCTGAAGGACAAGAAATGCATGAACTTTTGTCAGGCAGGAACAGAGCACAGGTAAATTTTGTTTTGCTTTCTTCTAGCCTTTAGTGGATGGATTATAAACTGGATTCCAGTATACTGTATCTACTTCATTTTTAAATATTTGAGCTAGCGTAGCCTGAACATTTAGCATTTAGACTTATATACCGCTTCACAGTACTTTACAGTCCTCTCTAAGCGGTTTATAAAATGTCTGCACATTGCCCCCAACAATCTGGGTCCTCATTTTACCCACCTCGAAAAGATGGAAGGCTGAGTCAACCTTGAGCTGGTCAGGATCGAACTCCTGACAGTGAGGTGAATTAGCCTGCAATACTGCATTCTAACCACTGTGCCACCATGGCTCAGTTAAGTTAAGTGACCAAAAGTTACAGACTTTGAAGCCTCTAAAGAAACAGGGTGGCATTAAAGATGAGCATGTTCAATTAGCATTGGGGTCCTAGTCTCTATTTAGACATGATACCCAATGGATGATTTTGAGCAAGGACAGGCAATTGATGGCCTCTTTTGAACTTCAAGTGTCATAGTTCCCAATCAGTCTGACTAATGGTAGACGTCTATCAGAGTGCAGCTCTTAACATTTGGAGGACATGGGATGCTTCTCTCTGATCATGGATATTTTCTTCCAACTAAATCAGGGATCTGACTGACTGAGGAATTCTGGGAGTTGAAGTCCACAAGTTTTAACATTGCCAAGTTTGGAGATCCCTGAACTAAATCAATGCAATTAAGATGATAAATATGAACCACCTTAGCCATGGAAGCTTATTTTTTGGCTTTGAGCTAGTTACCCTCTCAATTTATTCTACTCTGTAGAATTATTTGGGGGAAACAGGGGAAAAGATAGTGATATGAGATCCTGGAGAACACCAGGGTATTCATTTATTAGATTTATATCCTTCCTTTCCTCAGACCCTCTAATTGGCACATATACACTTCTTCCTCCAAACTTATCCCTCAATAACCTTATGGAAGAGGTTGGGCAGGATGAAAGGACCAGAGTCACTCACTGAACTTCTGTGACCTTGGTAGAGTCAAACTTGGTAGAGTCCTAGTCTTGCTTCACAACCCCTATACCATATAGGCTATCTAAATCTGAACAATTAAATGAATGAATGGATGTTGTAAAGATAAAATAGAGGAAGAATAAAATTAAGATTTAATAAATGTGCTACAATATGGGCAAGAAGTATGAATGTTTCTCACAGCTGCATCTTTTTTTATTGATATGAACAGGTCTCAGTCCACTACAGAGAAGAAATGGAAACATCTGCTTAAAGGGAGAGATTGCAAAGGGCTTGGACTGAAGTGCACATTTCATCAACTGGCTGAAAGCAAGAAAATGAAGAGGTAAAATTGTCCTTTCCACTTCTGGAAAATGATTGATTCCAATAAATGTACTTCATACCACAACAGAATAGGTAAAATCTCAGACAAGGGAAAAGTTATTGGTTTCCCCCCCCCCCCCCAGTGGAAGCTGAGTGGACTCTGTATTTTCTTAACTGGTGTATATAGCCGATTCCAGTTTTTGGAAATGGACATTTATGAGTTGCGAAATTTTCTTTAGACTTACTTGGCAGAGGGCTTTTCCCCAATCTGCAGGGTTTTTAGTTAAGTTACCAATTTACCAGACCTTGAGCTGACAGCCTCTGCAGGGAACTGACCAATTTTCTGCACTGATTAAGGTCATCTGCATAAAGATGTAAATGGCACAATTCATATTGTTATGCAAATCACCCAAGGAAATAGTCTTAATTTAATGAATGTTTGTTAATAACCAACCCCTTCCCTTTCCGATATTCAATTAAAATGAAGTTTGGTTACCTATTCTTATAGATGATACTGTCATTCTTCCCAGAGCCTTCTTTTTAATTTTGCATGTGGGATCTTCTTGTTCCATGTGCCATGTTGAATATGGTGGGAGAGATTTCATTCATTTGATTTTGATTTGATTTTATTAGATTTCTACCCCGCCCTTCTCCTTGCGGACTCAGGGCGGCTTACAGCCCGTTAAAAACAAGTAAACAAATACAAAAAACATTCATACTTCCTTTCTGCTACAGCTTTAACAGAACTCAAGTATAAAGGTGTTTAGCAAGTAGATGCTTTTAGTATCCCTTTTAGTATCCCTTTTATTGATTGATATGTGCCATCAAATTGGTGTCAACTCTTAGTAATTCCATAAATAGATGATCTGTCCCCAGCCTGGTTCTTTAAGTCTTCCAACAATGCATGTTGCTGTCATTGAATCTATCATCTATCAAATATTAGTTACCTCCTGAACTACTTCCCAAAGTGAGGTAAATTTGCATGCTACAAGAGTATGTAAATGTACAGTATATGCCTTGCATAACATCTCCAAAAGTAGTATGGGAAAAAAATAATACACCTTTAGATATTCATATGTAAATCTGGGTAACAGAGATTAAAAAAATTGTATTTCCAGAAAATGATAATTAATTAAATGTTCATGTGACTAAGACAACCAACACATTTGACATCTCTATCTATACATACGCCAACATATTTGATCATTTAAATTGATGAGTTCTCTTTTATTTTTGCAGGTTGGATACTCTTCGAAACAGTATCAAAGCTTCTTCCAATATTGCCAAGCTGGTAAGCAAGCTGCACAAACCGAAGCAGTTGAAGCATAACCGAACATACGAAAAACAAAACATCTGGCAAAGTCTGAAAATGACATCGTAGTGGAAAGATCACCAGTTCTAATCCTCAAGTCATCAAGACTTTCTGACAAAGCTTCGCTGAGACTTTGTTTTGGCTTCTTAACATTCCACTTCAGGAAAAGATCAAGGAAAGTTGATCTAAATATTAACTCTGTAAAGTAAAGGAGAGCCCACATAAATATTCCATTCAGACTGTTGACAAAGCAGATAAATACTGGCATCTTATTGGAATTCAGTTGGTTCCAGTGGGTGAAAGAACATTTTTTCAACCAATAACTTTAAAGACTGTCAAATGAAGAATGGACAAGTTTGGATCCCAGCTCCAAAAAGAGAGTAACATTTAAAGCATCAACTCCTTTGATTTGTCATGTTTCAGCCACAGTATAACCCAAGCAAGATCAAAAATGGAAAGATCAAGATTTGATAGGGAAGATGCCTTAGTTCTGACCCTGATTAAAGGCCAAATAAATGTGCTATTTTGATGGAGGCACATATTCTAAATTACAGGTCTACCTCATATGCTCGGAATTGCACTCTTGTCAAACTAACATTGCAACTATTTTGTAAGTGTTGAGTGTTGGCTTCAACCTCTTACCTTTAACCACGATTGCCTATAGTTTAGTTAATTTAGTTTCAGACTTTCACGATTGCAGATTAAATTTGTCTACAATCTGGTGGTAAGGGAATGAAACAGATTGCCTCCATCCCAAAGATGCAATGTCATTTGAGAATATAGATTTCACTGTTTTTCAGTGGATCATGTTTTTAAAAGAGTGTTATTAGAATCGGAGTGATAAAGGATTGTTAATACATGAAGTTCAACATATATGAAAACACCAAAAATTTAGTGCCATTGAGTGAAACTTGAATTGGATGACCAAAGTTGTACTAAGAGGTTGGACTGTCTACTTTTGTTCTTTATAAATAAAATTTGAAGGCAACGGCTAGTTTAAAACTAAGATCAAAGGCTTATCCTGAGCAAACCTGAATAGCAATGGATTTATCTATATGATAAATTTCCTGTATAATGTTTCTGGATCATATTTTGTATGATGTGTTCTTTACCATTATATATTTATATTCAGGTGACTGTCAATTATATTTACTATGTTGAACGTATATTGAAACAGGCCATATTGGTCTACATGTTTATATGTTTTATAAATTTCTGTATGAAATTGGAAAATTCTTTATGCCTGGTAAGGTAAATATACTAGAAATAAATATTTTTAACTACTCAGTTTATTTTATAGTATATTGAATTATTATTTTTGTACTCTTATGTTGCTTCTTCACTTTCATTAACTTAGCATTTTCCATTGTTACAAGATTTCATACTCGTACTGTATATGGACCACATATCCTATCCTTCTCGCAAGTACCTAATTTGAACTGAGTCTTAGGAAACAAAATGTTTTATTCCATACTTGGATCATCAAAATTGCATTATCTAATGTTCCTTGTAAGTACTTCAGACAAGAATGGGTACCGTATATCAGACATCAAACAATGGTATAACAGACTTGGAATTAGCTTTAATATACACCCTCATAAAACAAATACATATCACTCGGGTTAATGATTGCTCAAAATATCAACGCAAATAGGTGTTCATGCATAATTTATTTCTAAGTGATCTATATCTACAATACTGGCAACCTAAACAGCCTCTTGAAATTACAACCCCTTGTACAAGTAGTTACAGTTGACTTACAAACATAATTGGGACAAGAATTTTCATTGCTAAGCAAGGTAGTTAAGAAAGTCACACCCAATGTTGTGGCCTTTTTTTCGGCACAGTTAAGTGTGAAGTTATATGTTAAGTGTCTCATATGGTCATTAAGCGAATCCAGCTTCCCCAATTGACTTTGCTTGTTGGAAGGTCGCAAATGATGATCAACCTTGGAAGCTACTACCATTGTAAGTATGTGCCAGTTGCCAAGCACTCAAATTTTGATCACGTGACCATTGTAGTTTTGAATGGTTGCTAAAGGAATGATTGTAAGTTAAGGACTACCTGTAAACTATGAAGAAGAAAACAGATTGTGTTTGCTCATGAAGAAGGCAACAAGACTCCTACTCTGAACTAAAGCAGGGGTCCTCATCCCCTGATCCGTGGACCGTCACCGGTCCACAGCATGCCAACAACTGATCTGCACAAACAAGCAAAGCCACATCCGCAAAATGGAGGCAGCACACGAAACCACGCCTCCTCTGGTCCACGGAAAAACCTCTCTCCACAGAACCGGTCCCTGGAGCCAAAAAGGTTGGGTGCCACTGAACTAAAGCACATATAATTTGCCTCTTGGCTGAATGAGGCTGGGGAACCCACAAATGTTTGACTGACTCAGCTTCAAGGACCTACACATAGGGAAATGAAGAAGGACTCAAGTTAGTTCAACCAACTCACAATGGTTTTCAAGGCATCCTTGATGGAACTGCTAGTAAAAGCAGTCAGTGCAATGTAAAGTCTTTGTGTGATACTTCCCAAGGAAGACAGGGTGGAGCTGAACGTATCCTTATTGTAGAATAAGGAGGAAAGGGGCCTGTTCATCTTCTTTTTGATTCCCATAACATTTCCAAAACAGTCTCTGGTAGCTCCCAACTGTCCCAGGTAATTAGTCACATTAGTACTAGTAATATTAAAGAGGGTTAAGAATTCAGGTGAGTTTTATACTTTCAAATGAAACTCCTACACACAGACACATTAAGGCAGCAGGATTCCTGTTGCTTTCTGTGTCCTTTTCAGCAGAAATTGGAGGGCGCTTGTTGTGGGTTGTTGGTGTGCGAATGAAAGCAGAGCAGTCAGCACCTGTTGCTTGGTTTGGAAACAGCCCCAAGACTTCTTGTCAATGTGAGAATCAGCTGTCATAATAACTTTATGCAGAGGCCTCATGAGTTGCATCTGCAAGTTGACTTGATGCAAGGGCCGAAGCTGTCAAAGCAGAAACCAGGGATTTTCAGGCTGGACAGCAGCATCAGGCAAATAGGAAACAAGTACAATTTGCCCTATTTTGCGACCTTTCTTGCCACAGATGTTAACTGAATCACTGCAGCCGTTAAGTGAATAACATAGTTGTTAAGTGAATCTGGTTTCCCCGTTGACTTTGCTTAGAAGAAGGTTGCAAAAGGTGACCCCGTGACCCCGGGACACTGCAACCATCATAGGTATGAGTCAGTTGCCAAGCGTCTGAATTTTGATCATGTGGCCTTGGGGGTGCTGCAACGGTCATAAGTGTGGAAAACGGTCATAAATCACTTTTTTCAGTACTATTTGTACTTTTGAGCAGTCACTAAGTGAATTGTTGTAAGTCGAGGATCATCTGTATTGCCAACTTTCGAGGTCAGGAAAAGAATGTCCAAAAGTTCACTGACTCAGGAAAAGGCCTAGAAACTAATCAAGGAGAGAAGCAACCTAGAACTAAGGAGAAACTTCCTGACAGTCAGAACAATTAACCAGTGGAACAACCTGCCTCCAGAAGCGGTGAATGCTCCAACACTGGAAGTTTTTAAGAAGAGACTGGACAGCCATTTGTCCGAAATGGTATAGGGTTTCCTGCCTGAGCAGGGGGTTGGACTAGATGACCTTTAAGGTCCCTTCCAACTTTACTATTATTATTATTATTATTTAAAGCCCAGAACTGACATTTCTGTTCTTTTGATTTTGTTTGTCTGTGTTTTATTTTTTTCCAGTATGCATATTTCTGCATATACAGTATATGATTGTTTTCTATATAAAAGCAGCTCATCCAAGTATCTGAAATCTGTGAAGACTCTGCTGTTAGCTAATTATTGAATATATGACTAATGTTCTAGACTAGAGTTAATATTTATTACCATGCCTTGTGTAATATTTGGAAAGTGTCCTCAGCTAGAAAAAGCAGAGTCGCCTATAGTAGTTTCAAGGCCCCAAGTCCTACCTTTCCTACAGACAGGATTGGGCACCAGACTACAGCATCCTTCACAGTCAGTTATCAGTATTTTTCTTGGTGTTGGTCCGTCTTCATGTCAAAAGGTTTCCACAGTGGTCCTCTGTACTAAACCACCACCCATCCATTGCTTGCTTTTGTGAGACTTACACCTGCTTTTCAAGACACTTGAAAAAGAGCGACATTTTTCATCCTCATACATCACATGTCTGAAATAGCCTTTTAATATTTTGCTAGATGGTAAGAATGATCTTTCATCTCATCAGACTCTACAAATGAAATAATTATTTCTTTGGGGAAGCATCTTTTGACAGAGTTACACAATGTGCTTCTTTTGGGGCATCAAAAGTTAACCAAGGTATAACCAATATAGCGAGTCTGGATAGATAGGTACTGTATCTTACTACTGAATGTCCTGCTCTCCTGTAAGTAAAAGTTGATATTTCTCGCGAAGATACTTTTTCTACCATGTAGACAGAGCATCTAGGTCATCTTAAATGTTATTATTAGATGGAAGGTGCTTATAAAATATCTAGAGTTCTTTTAACTTCTTTGTTTTTACATAGTTTTTTTCTCTCCTTCCGATAACCTATGATAGCATAAGACTTGATTATCTAAAGGCCATCTCTCTTCTGTGGTTTTTGTTTGGCATGTATGGGGCAGGGTTGACATGTTCCAGGTCCACCCATTAAGCAATGTCACCTGATGGGACCTAGGAAGGATGTCTTCTCTTTTGAGCATTTGCCCTTTAGTACAACCATCTCCTGTGAGATGTGTTTGGCCCCTACCCTGACTGTGTTTAAAAGAGATCTGACAACTTAGATTTTCTCCATGGCCTTGAGTCAAAGTGAGTTCATTTGTTTCTTCTTCTTCTTCTTCTTCTTCTTCTTCTTCTTCTTCTTCTTCTTCTTCTTCTTCTTCTTCTTCTTCTTCTTCTTCTTCTTCTTCTTCTTCTTCTTCTTCTTCTTCTTCTTCTTCTTCTTCTTCTTCTTCTTCTTCTTCTTCTTCTTCTTCTTCTTCTTCTTCTTCTTCTTCTTCTTCTT